AACACAGCAATCAAACACTGGTTTCTCAGGGAGATGGGTAGAGGTGGAAGCGAGCCCAGCCTCACCTCTGCATGACTGAGACAGATGATGGTTGAATGTAAAAGTGGTTTGGTTTAGCCTGAGAGGTAAAACCGAGGCCACTGCTCGGTTTTCTACCCCATCCCACCTTCCCTGCAGCCCAAGAACTGAGGAAAGCCTCAAGTGACACAAGTAGCTGGTCAAACCTCGGGTTTCTCGAATCATTCTCTCTCACTCGTCATTCGTACACAGCAAGATGCTGATGATAATTACCTCCTGGGGGGTGGATTCAAATCCACTTCTCCAGAGAGATTTGAACCTGCCATCTCCCACACCCTGGCTGAGTGCCTTAAATATTTGGTCAAGTATCTGGATATCCTCTACAGAGCTGTAAACCTAGGCCAAAAATAGTTTCCAGCTGCAACTATATGACTGATTTGACCTGAGACTACTTGGGAAGGTGGGGGGGGTGTCAAGTATTTTATTCACAGAAGAAAAATAATTGCCCTCCCCTATTAAGAAGACAGACAGGAAGAAGCTCTGTTGCTACAGGAAATGAGCAATGAGATCTTTTAGACAAGGTTAGGAGGCTACACTAATAAACACCACCTTTTCCCAAGCTGTAGTTTGAAAAAATACAGAGTTCTTCTCCTTGTTTCCTTTTGTATATAACTTATAGAATCATCAAATTATTTTGGTTGGAAAATACCCTTAAAATCATTGAATATGGTCCTAGGTTTTAAAATGCATTTGAAGTCAGGCTTCTAGAATCATATTTAGGCTTATAAATAAATAATCAAATTTTCATATGTGCCACATTCAACTTCTCTTAGATTACATGGTCAAAGCTGGAAGGCAAACACTTTTGAAAATCAGGATTCTTAGGGGATTGAATGCAGACCTGAAACAGAGATTTGCAAAGGCAGTTAGGCACACAATTTCTAGTGAGAAAAGGTTCAGTAGTTTCCTAAGCACAAGTTTTAGGTATCCATTAGGAAAATCTCAGCTTTGCTGTAAATGCCTCTGGATTCCTGAGATTTCACTCATTTGGCAGCCAGGCACCAAGTTCTGTCATCTGACCCGAAAAGAAGTCTACTGAGTTCTGTATAACTTATGTAGCCTTTCTTTGGAAAATAAATAAATCATTCAACTGGAAATACTCAAAAAGCTGGGCTTATGTCCAGATACAGTATGCCTAGCTTAGTGGCAAAAAAGTTACGGCACACATCCTGCATTGTCAAGAACGCTGAATGTTTTGGCTGCCCTAATAGAAAAACAATAATTCAATCATGTATTATAAAGGAATTTCCTGGAGAAGTTTGGCCCCACTCAATCATCCTATTAGATTTATCCTTAATGTGGAAGAACAGCACATTAAATTCATTACATACATTAGGCCAGCTAGGTTTATTTCCAGATGGGTTTCTGTAAAGTGGTCAAAATGCCTAAAAAAAGGCATTTTGAAGATGCCTTTATATGTAACTCCTATAGCATGATAATAACTCTGCAGTCTTACACCACTGTATGCCCAGTAATTCCTTCTTGCAATGGAAGGACACATTGAACACAACTAGCTGTAAGTATTTTATAAATCAATAATGACAGGCCCACAGGGCTGGGATCATTGTTTTATTTTGCTGGCAAGGGCCCACAAGACTGGGATATTATGCAAAGAGGAGAGAGGATGTGTGAGGAGATAGTTATGCTAATATACAGCACTTCCCCCTCCCTCTCTCCTCCCTGGAGTAACTGTCTTAACATTACACGTGGTGATTTGTCCTTGGCAGTTCCAAATTACCTACACCTGTTGGCTCTGGCACACTAAATAAATACCCCATTAAAGGTTTCTCTATTCACCAAGAATGAGGAAAATGCAGTTCAAAGTGCTCTGCTGCAGCCCTACAATCCTCACCAAAGTGTTTTAGCTAGCTTTCACATGAGAGGAGCTAGATCAGTATCAACACTTTTGAAAATAGGGCTGCAGAGCGATCTTCATGCAATTTTAGAGATTTACCTTTCCCAGAGCTTTGCAGACTTGGTCCTGGCTGGGGTCTGGGTGCTGGAAAACAGCCCTGTGCTGCCATCAGAGCCTGTAAGGGATTGTGCCTATGATGAGGAGACTCAAGATCCCTAAAGAGAAGTAAGGGAGGTGTGTCACCTCTGGAGACAATGCTCCCTTTTCACACAACACTGGCTGGAATCCTTTTCTTTAAAGCTTCTCAAGGACCAGAGCCATGCACAGAACATGCACAGAACATGTGCTGGGGTACTATTTCAGTAAAAAAATCACCCCTGAACTGAAATAGCATAAAACTGCTCCATAAACTCTCATTACTTTAGTAATAAAGGATACTTAATTAAAGGACTTTGTTTTTTGCTTTATGCTTTTGCACCTATAGGGTGCCCAAACCAGAGCAGGACACAGTTGGGATTATGAAGCATCAGAGAAGCTGACCCCACTTAGCTGCACTGGGCTGGCTGTATTTGGGGCCACTTCTCTGCCAGGGTTACCAGATACGTGGAAGTTCCACAGCAGGAGTTTTGACTGAGGCAGATATGGAGAGTTGTTAATTACACACAGCAAGCGACTGCAAACCATCACTTTGACTGTACTCGATGCTGGGAAAGGCTTTACTATTCTTGGATCTGCCACAGAAACATTTCAAGTTGTTACAATGCCTCTCTCTGCAAAGGGGCAGAAGGCTCCAGTAATTCAGCAGTGCCAGTGCCAAGAGTTTCCTCACCACCTTCACTCAAGTGTCTCCTAATGATACCCCCGGACCTTGTGTCACACTCCATTACACACATGCTGCCACACATGTAAAATACATCTACATTTATGCATGTGTAAATATACATGCTTTGCATTCATGCATGTAATACAGGTATCAGCTTTCCTAAGTCCACAAGATCTGCAGCTCTACTGGTGCACAAGCATGTCCTCTGCATACTTAGAAATTGTATCAACAAGATGTGCGTGCCAAGACATTTCAGGAAGGAATCTGAACCGGGTGACCAGCCAGAAATTTCAATAAATGCCCATAAAGTGCTGTTACATGCACTGGAGCTGTGTGTTGTGTTCCTCCCAGTGCCAGCAGCAGGGGCAGGCAGGATGCTTTGTGGTGGCAACCCATCCATCCTCCTGCACATCCAGAGATTTTAAGGAATAACTCCTGTGCGTCCCTCTGTACCCTGCTGGTACAATTTGCCAATAATATAATTTTACATATGTTTGAACTGCTTCTGTGGTCTTAGAAAATGTTAAAAGCACACATATTTTTAAAACCTCTGGGTTGCCTGATGTGCTGGAAACTTGCTAGGTGCCTATAATGTTTCAAACTGAATCCTTTCCCTGCTCATTTCTTGCCAGGTTTTCTGTAGTCCCAAGGGGTAAAGTTCTCATCTGTCAGTTCCAAATTACTGAAACCATAAAGTTGAGAATATTACAATTATCAAAAATCTCAGAAATGATAAATGGAAAGTCTATTTCAAATATTTTTCTATGTGATCTCCTGCTGTGCTGAATCCAGTGTCTCCGCTCTTCAAACCTTAAGTCCTTTGTTCTGCCCTAATGAAAATAGTTTCATACAATTTCCCAAGTCCCACAGGAACAATTTACTGTAGTCATTACATTAATTAATCCTTTCTCTGGACTTGAAATGTCCCTAATACTAGATCTGTGTTTATTGTCATCTGTACATTTCTAAGTTCATCATTTTCTTCACCTTTCCTGACAGTCAGCGCCTTCCTTCCTCAGTGTTTGTTAAATCCAGAGCAAAAAAGAGGAAATTGGGATACAGGTCAGTTATGTATATCGGTTCATTTTCATTGTTTATTAAAAATGGAGAAAACCTGTTTAAGAAAGTGAAATCCTTATTAAGCACACTGTTAAAACTAAGTAGTAATTTGTTGTTCTTGCTACAGGGAAGCTTGGCACATTTTTATTCCTTGTACATTTTCCAGCCTTATTTTTCTTCATCAATTAACATCCATTGCAGGAGAGCAAATTCTCTCCCTGAACAAAGCTCTGCAGACAAACTGGGATTACAGACTGCTTTCTGATTTCCTGTATGTTAGGGAAAATAGAGTATGATGCCAATTACTTCGGGGGGGGAATGACTTTGGATTTATACGACTGTATCTGAGATCATAATTCTTCTCCTTGTGAGTAATTGGGGTCACGTGTCTTCCTTTTCAACTTTACCACTGCAATGCCTACGCCTCATGCTGGAGGCTGAGTAGCCTGAACCATCCCAGATGACTGAGTCATGAGCATTTTTTCTAGATGAATACATGAGAGTTTATATGAGAGCAAGTAATTGCTCTTCATATGTGCCTGGGATATTATTTCATTAACCAAACTACTCCCTGTTCATGCAGAAGCCCTAAAGATCAAGCAGCTGCCAGTGCCAAATTAAGTTTTCTTTGGGGTTAGAGCACAAAGCCAAAACTTTTGGGTCCTTTTTCATTACCTTCCTCAATCTGTGACTTTAGACAAACTCCCTGGGATCTCTGTACATCAGTTACCCATCTATAAAGTGGAATGAAAGCTTAATTTACAAGGGAAAAGAGATGTGAAAGTTAAGCATTTGAGGCCAAAATCTGTCCTCTTACTCATACCAAAACAGTCCCAGGCTCTGTGTTCCTGGAGTGTTTGGCTCCATGACATCACTAAGGAAAGCTGCACTTGGTGTAAGTTCACATGTTTACCCCTGCTCTCCAGGTAGGTAAAACACTCTGGAACAGTCTGAAATTCTCCAGTGAAAGCTGCCCTATAAATACAAAGTGTTCTTGTGACTCAGGTTCACTCTTTGTTTGGGTACAGATTCAACATCTCACTTCCTTGGCTTATGAGACAGGTTGTTATTACAACACTCTTTCCTACCTCCTAACACCCACTTAAACAGAAATCACTTCTTACTGGTCTCATGTTCAGGGCACAGAAATCTATTTAAACTTTCCTTGTGACATGAAGCAAATCATTAGAAACAACCCCAACCCCTCTGCCCCTGAGGGATTGCTGTCTTGTTCCACCAAACTGCCACAGGTAAAGCCTTCAGCATGTCTTTAACTTTGCTTTTCTTAGGAAGGACCTCAGCTTCTGAGACTGAAGAGACTTCTCTGCAGCCATGAGCAAACAGCATGGGAAAGCAAGGGCATGGGGGAAAAGAGAAGTTCTCCCAAAGGAGGGGTTTTAACATGGCTGAAGAAGGGAATTAAGACTTCAGATTGAGGCTTTAGCACCATGTTAGGTAAGTGACACCCTTTAGCATAAAATCACTGTATGGAGAGTAACCAGAATATTATCAGCTATGTTTATATAATCAATTTTATATGTTCTTATATTCATTTCATGCATGCATGAGTGGCCATACAACCTGTAAGGCACTAAAGGTCTGTTTTGCCAAGTTCTCTCCCCATGGTAGTAACTTTTCCTCCCTATATGTAATGTTTATGCTATATTCATCCAGGTTAGCGATAAAAACCTGTTATTTTCAAAATCCCACAGCTGTAATGGTGGCAGGTTGCTTTAGTACCAGGATGGGGTCAAACAGAATGACCCTGAGCCCAGCAGACACTCACCCAACACCCCCTCACACACACACTGGACACTGCTTACCTTGCTTTTCACAAGCCCAAGATCCAAACCCAGCTGTGTTCCAGAGACCTATTAATGCACACACTAAAGAGCATATTTATGACACCACAAATATTTAAGTATGGTCTCTGCAAGTGGGAGGAGAAACTGCTCTCTCCAAGAGCTTTTGGCCATAGGATTTCCCTTTCTTGCCAGCCTCCCTGTGTCCCCCTGAAGCAATGGGTTTGGTGAGGAGGCCTCAGATAATCATCTGACATCTTTCACAGTGCTCATAAAAAGAGCTAGTAAGAACTCCTTACATATTATCATATGTATTTGAGTTTCCACAAGACAAAGCAACACTTCCAGGAAAGGAGGGAGAAGCGTGCAGCGGGTGCTGAGGCATTCAGGGAGTCATCTGCCAGGCTGTGGAGTGGGGAAGGAAGGATCCTGCCAATGGGCCTTGGAAAGCTCTGGCCAGCTCCTTCCCCCCTTGCTTACTTGTTGGGAAAATGGAAGTTTTCTAGCCTAATATATAGTGTGAAATGGAGCTGATGAAAATGAGTCAGAGTCAGAGGAAACTCCTTCCTGATGGGCTCAGAAGGTCTACTATTCCAGACTCATTTCTTAAAGTCTTCAGCCTTCCTAGAGTCCAGATTAAAGATGTGAAGACAAAGCTTTCTGCCCTGGTGTGAGTGTTGGATTTTATCCATTACCGATTTTTCAGGTAGGAAGTGATAAATCTGTGGTAAGAATTTCAAGCTCCATCAAGAAAGGTTTCAGAGGCTTGAGACAAGAGGTTAAGGGATCAGGAGCACAGGCAATGCTCTCCTCTATCTTTCCAGTTGCAGGGAATGATGAGGGAAGAAACAGGAAGAGGCAGCAGATCAATAGCTGGCTCTGAGCCTGGTGTCATTGGCAGAATTTTGGGGTTTTTGATCATGGGTTGGTTTACATGAGACCGAGCTGGATGGCAACAGATGGGGTACACCTGCGTCAAAACGGGAAAAGGAGCTTTGCACAGGAGTGAGCAGGGCTCATTGAGACAGCTTGAAACTAGGTTCAAACTGGGAAGGGAAAAACCCAGGCTTGCTAGAGACAAGCCTGGGGCCAGCACCCCAAAATTTGAGGGCCAGGGTGCTAGTGAAGCCCTTTGGTCTGCTCTCTCAGTGAAAGAAGGGATGGGGGTTTGTGCAGCAGCAGAGACACGAGGGTTATTGCTATGTTAGAAACCACAGAAGCACCTGAGAATTGCCTTCAGGAATTAGGACTTGTCCCTGGAAAAGGTGGTGGGAGTGTGCAGGAGAGAACTTCCTGACACAGCTGGTGAGGGAGCCAGCCAGGAAAGGCAGCACTGAACCTGCTGTTTGTGACAGAGAAGGACCGTGGGGGATGCCATGGCTGGAGACCACCTGGGACACAGGGACCATGGAATGATAGAGATTTTGATTCTCAGAGAAGGAGAAGGATCCACAGAGCTGCTGTGTTGGTCATCTGGAGGGAAGACTTTGGCCTCTTTTGGAGGCTGACTCATGGAGTCCCTTGGAAGAAGAGCTGAAGGGAAAAGGAGTTCAGGAAGGCTGGACATTTTTAGGGAGGAAACCTTCAAGGCTGAGGAGAAGGTTGTTCCCATGTGCTCAGAGATGAGCTGGTGGGGAAACACTGGTGCAGGCTGCCCAGGGAAGTGGTGGAGTCACAAACCTTGGGAGTATTGCAAAGTCCAGTAGATGTGTTGCTTAGGGACAGGGTGGCTTTGGCAGTGCTGGGTTAGTGGCTGGACAAAGGTACTTCCAACCAAATCAATCCTATAATTCTATGATTCTAAAAGATGATTTAAAGTTGATATCCAGTATCCTGCTTTGGACTAATAAATGGCTTTTCTGTAAGATGCTGCTTTACAGAATGCTTGAAGAGAGAGCCAAGCTGAGCCTCTGCAAAATGGAAATTATCTTTGTCGCAAAGTTTACATTTTCAGATGAAAACAAGGGATCAGGTTCTCTCCCTCAGGCTGAGCAGATTCTTACTCTGCAAATAATTGTGCAGAAACCAATGGTAGTGCAATGGGGTTGAAAGATGTCCTGGCATGGTGTAGAGACCACTAGCTTTGATTCCAAACATCCATTCACCTTGTTTACTTAACGCATTAAAAAGCTTTAAATGCCCTACAGGCATTGCAGTATATTGGGACCAAGAGGCCATGGCTGAGCTTTGCTGCCTGCTTGGCTCTCCCAGACTACATAAAGAAATCCACAGTCAGAAAGGATGGAGAAAATTTGTCCAAAAAGCCATTTTGTTTCTTCTGATTATGTTTTTTGATAGTGTTTAATTTTTATATTTTTTTTTTGCTTTTCCTTCTCCCTCCAGCCAAATTCCCAGTCACACTGGTAGAGTGAGAGTACTTCACTGGATACCCTGACTTAAATAAAGTAGTGAATCCCATGGGCATGGTCCTACTGCTTCTTTTTCTGAACAAAATCAGACAATTAGGTGAAGTACCTGCTCTGTGCCCCCTCTGCGCTGTTACATGAATTTCTTTCATTTCCCATGACATTAATACAACTCTGCACGTGGTGCTATTTCCCCACAGCATTAACATGGGTCTGCATGCAAGGAAACAGGAGGAAAAAGAGGAGCTCCTGAAGACCTCTTTGGCTTATCCTTTAGCTCTCACTGAAACAGGCAGGAAAATCTCAGAGAGGAGATTTTTCCACTGGCAAAAAGCCAGACTGATTAAATCAAAATGAGCCTCCCAGCATAAATCTGAGGAGTTCCTCAGGTTTCCAATGAGGTCAGTGGGCTGGTGACGGGGAGAGCCCCAGCTCAGCCCCATTAGAGCCACAGCTCCATGAGATAACTGGGTGTTGGTCACCACTATCTTTATCTGGTTATGTCACTGCAGGAATTCAGCAAGCTGATGTAATTCACACTGGACCAAGCTTGTAAGGTCATGCTCTGCTCCTCAAGAGCTTGTGATGGGGCTCGGGAACCCTGCAGCTCCAAAATCTATGCTTTTGAATCACCCCAAACAACACCCAGCCACAAACTGGGTCACAAGGGCATGGTACTCCAAAAATGCATTCAGAACACTTCCAGGTGGTAAGGAGGAGCTCAAAGGCAGTAATTTTGGGTTGCTGATACCAACTTAATTTACCCTGTCTATAAAATCTCCATCCCTTTAGCTCTCTGGTCCTGTTCTTTCTCCTCCCAGGCTGCCACCCAGTTTTCAAGTGGCTTGGGGATCTTGCCTGCCTAAAGGGGCTAAATCTTGGAAGAGTCCAATTATTAATTTCCAGAAGTCCCTACTGAGTATATTATTTCTCTTTCAATTTTCTTTCTTAGAAATAGATTAATAGTTTTATTCCCTTGTTTTTCAGCTTGAGGCAGAAAAATAACAGGAGTTTTCAGTTTGAATGATGAAAGTTTTGTGAGGCTATACTGAATGGCAAATAAGACCTTTTCCTGGAAAGTTCTGGGCAACCTTGGCATGAGGTGATACTCATGCAGTGCAGGGTGGACTCACAGAATGTTTAGAAGAGCACTCCAGTGGTTGTGCCAACCTCCCAGAGCACTGCATTGAGTGGGTAAATGTGTATGATCTCCCCAGAGGTCTCAGGGAAGTAAGACTAATTCCTGTTTTCATGATGTTTTTGATATGAGTGTCCTAGAATCTCTTAGCATGACTTTCATTGCCATAAAACTCTCTCTTCTCATCAAAATCTTGATGTCATCTTCTCTCCTCCCTCCCCAGAACCCCACTTCATCTGCTCCTGTCAGATTGCCTCTCCTCTGGTCTGTGGGGATGCCAGAGGAGCAGAGCAAAGATGTCACAGAACAGAATATTCTTCTCCTCTGATCTCTGTTACCTCCTTTACTGCAAGGCTTCAGAAGCAGACCCAGCTCTCACCTGATGTCCATGCAAGTATCCAGCACACTGGGATGGATCTCTAGAGAACCCATCCTTAGTGACCTGGCAGGTGCTTTGCCACTGCTGTTTATGAAATATGTAATACTTGGGATCGGTATTTTATTGCAAAGAAAATAAGCAAATCTGCCCTGTTTCCACAGAAAAGGCAGGGAATGGGGGTGCTGCTGAGTTGGCACTTAGCACCAGCTCCAGGAAAGCACGGAGCAGGCTCCCAGCACCCTCCCCTGCCAGGCTCCTGGCATCCCCCAGCTCATGAGCCCAGGCTGAAGGGAGGTGCTCCTGCTCCAAGCAGTCTTGACATGGCACCATCACTCCAAATCTGCAGTTTTCCCCCCTGGATCCCAAGATCTCCTCCCTGATTAGAAGAAGCTGTCTGGCAATGCAAGGAAACAGTCTGTGCCTGTGCTCCTTCACAGCTACAGACAGAGAGACAGGCGTGCTATGCTGACTTAGGAAAATGGTCTGTCAAGTTCTTATAAACAATAATAAGAAGTAAAATAATGTTTCATTTTCTCCAAATTAGGAGGGCATTTGTTTTGCACTCATAAAAATCTGCCGGTCCTCTGAAATGGATCAGTAGTGACATCCAGTGGCCACAAACTGAGACAGCCACAGTGATTTTGGGATGTAACAGCTTGGGCTGGATTTACCACTATTTACAGGTCTCCTAAAAGTGTTGTGGATGCAAAAAAAAAAAAAAAAAAAAAAAAAAAGCAGAAAAAACCAACAAAAAACCAACAAAAACCAACAAAAACCCCAAAAAGTTTATAGATTTTCCACCAATCCAGGGAATGAGGAATTTATATGAATATGTATGCATATATGTAGATAGATATAGATATAGATATAGAGATATTAAGATATTGAGATATATAGAGATATAGATATAGTATATACACATATCCACTCAGATCTTGTACCAGGAGCTTGTCTTCTGCTCTGACCCACACAAACCTCCCTCCATAGATATTTGCCTTCAAAATAAGCTTAATTCTCTCAATAAGTTATTTTGGAGTTAAAGTATGGATAAACTTGGGATGTCTATGCAGGTCTTAAGTTTGTTTAATCAGTTTATTCCAAGGGCTATTTGGCTCTCAGATGGTTTCTATTCATCTCCTTGGCTACTTATTCATTTTCTGGCAATGCTGTCTAAACAAAGGGGCTTTCTGCACTTGGCAGTCATATAGATGCCGTGGTTTCTGTATGATGAGTGAAGGATCTATCAGTGCTTCTTTTAAAGGAAATGTGTATGAAATACAGTGCAGATCCCAATTAAAACTTTCACAGCCCTATTTCCCAAGGTTTAGATGGCCACTAGATCCAGGTAGTCCAAGTCCAATTTGGCAATCCTACATCATGAGAGTTTTTCTACATCATGATTGCCTTTTTTCCTTCTCATGTTGTCATGTTCCAACCCACAATGTGTTAAATACAGCAAAGGGAATACTCCAAGCATGAAAATAGCTCCTTGACCTTGAACAAGCAGACACAGGGACTGTCTTGGATTGCAGCCACTCTGCTTGACTTCTTGCTGAGCCAGGGTTGCAGAGTGACTCCTCATGGGGGATATGAACCAGGCCACCAAGGAGTGCATCAGCTGCTTTGGACGTGTTGGGGAACTTGGGAATACCTTGATTCTCTTTCTTGGTGTGTGAAAAAAATACTGACCAGCCCAGTGTGAGCCAGACACACACTATTTTTTACTAACTGTGCTCTAGGAAATGCTCAACTCTCCCTCAGAGACAATAGCCTTTTCTTTAGTGAAGTCACAGCTGATGCTGTGACTCCATAAAGGAAATCCTCAGTAAAACACTTTCTTACTAGACCAGACTTGCCATTTAAGACATTAAATTTACACCTTCTCTGGCAGCCCTGTGCCTCTTGCTCAGTTTTAATCTGGAGTGACTGCTGTGGTTCAGTTCAGGGTTGGGGGAGATAATCAAGTTACCATTGGCTGGAGAGTTTCTGTGTGTTCATCGAGGCTGGGGGTTCCACCACATGCATTCTTCTAGACTCTCACAAACACGCAGCAAAAATGCATTATCTTAAATCTTCTTTTGCTGACATTTAAATGAACACATTTTTCCTCAAATCTGAGACAGGCCAAGAACATCTGGCTCCACTGATGCTCAGTAAGTAACTCATTACACTGCAGGAGCTCACTCGTTTTTGAGCCCTGGGCTTTGGTAATGCTCTTGCCTGGTTTATGGCTCTGGTGTACTTGATTTGTGCTTGATCCAGGGTTTTATATTTAGGCACTTGAGCAACAAGTTTTGCACAGGGATCCAAACCTTTAATTCACAGTCGTGGAAAGGGCTGGAGTAAAACCCTGCTCACTATTCATTGCTTACATTTAGAATACGGATGCTCCAAGGAATGACAATTGACTCTAAAAACACATGTATTGAAACTGAAAAGCAGAGGCACATAAGCCAGCCTTTCAGATCCTGCTGATGCTTTATCTGAGATAGCAGCCTGATAAAACATCCTGCTCCTCTGTTCAGGGTGGTTGCTTAAGGACATCATGATGATGGCTGACATTTCTGTCATGTCACTTTTTGTTTCACCCCTGTCAGGATGACTCTTATTTCTCTCCTGCTTCCATTTCTTGAAATGTTTGTTCACCAATGCTTAAAAGATGCTAAGGCTCCAAATAGGACCCAGATGGCAGCAACCTCCTATTATTCACATGCAACTATTTATACTCAGCTTGTACTTACTATCATTCATAGTAACTTCAGATTCTGATCCTTTAAGAAAATTTTGGGATGACTTTCCAAACCAAATCCAAGGAATTTACTAATACTTCAGCAGTATAATTAGCACCTCTGCTTAACCTTCTGAACAGAACAAGTCCATCATCTTACAGAGAAGTTTGATTCCTGCTAAAGAAAGAGAAAGTAAGCAGTGCCTGAATCCACAGGAGATCTGAGCTACTCCCTGAGTAACCCCCTGTCATAGGGTGTGAAACATCCTCTAAGCTAGGAGAGAGTGAACAGATTACCAGATATCAGAATCACATCTAAGAAAAATATCAGGCTGCAAGGCAGGAGTTAGAAATGGAAAGCTTTATGCCACTGCTGCCAGGTGGGTGACAGAGCAGAGTGCTTGTAGAAAAGGAAATGAGTAAGTGACAGTATCAGTCTCCAGCAGAGTCTTTATGAGGCAGTGTAAGTCTAGCAGGAGTTAACAGAATGTAATAGGATTAAACTCGGCTGAATTAAGAGCAAATAGTAAGATTTGCTTTCTCAAAATGTGAGATTTGGTGGTTTGGCAGTTCAGTAAGAAATGAAACCTTAAAAGAGGTGTCTGAAACATATTTTGTCACTATTATTATTAATATTTCCAAAAATCCCTGGCAGGTGTAAGGTCCTTAGGTGACCCACCTGCAGAAGAGGAAATATTTATGGAGGGTGGCTGCAGGCTGAAAGGAAAAACAGCTGAGGACTGGTCATGCAGTGCTGCCCTGTCTTGGAGTGTGCTGGGGTTCTGCTGGGGTGCCCTGGTCTCCAAGACTTGAGATCACTGGCACTGCCAGAGGGAGGGATTCATGACAGCTACCTGCTGCTGGAGATAGCATAAAGATTTAATCTTTGCTGTGTGTGGAAGAGGGAGCAGTTCCATTTGCACAGACAGCAACTGCTGGCTGTGTCTCCATTTTTATTTTTTAAATTATTGTAGCAAGAAATAAAGGTGGAATTCCTTGAGCTTCCTGGAAAGTAAGTTTTGTTGGAGGAAAGCAGAGTTTTATTTTTTTACTAAATACTTTCTTCACCCCATTTCATTCCCTCTCCTGCCTCCCCAAAATGAAGAATGTTATAGCATTATCCAAATCAATTAACAAGGCCTGTTCTCCTTTTATTTTTTTTTTCCCCCCAGTATTTCTTCATCCCTGAGCTGGAATGGTTTCTCACTTTGCACTGTGGAGATGCAAAAGATGTATGAGGATACATCTTGTGGAGCAGATACTGCACTGACCATGAGGCTGTCCTGCATCCCATGGAAAGGGACCAGCCCAGCTCCCAGTGAAGACATAAGAGAAACACAGAGAGAGGTACAAAAATCTTTATTAACTTATGCCCAGAAATACTGTGCATCTGTCCAGAGAAGTCTCAGTTCTGGGGGGGTGGTGATAGCACTACAAAAAAGTGGATCCCCAAGGGGAGTGGATTCAATGACTGGGTTCAATGCTGGTTTTAAGTGGAAATGCTGGTTTTAAGTGGAACTCTCTCAGGATCTTCTGAATGCACACGATTGTGATGTTTGCTGACTGTCTTTTCTCTCAGCTGTTTTCTTTGGACCTCTCTATGAGATTGTGGATTATCTGTAGGTGAGGTACCACAACTGCATGGTGAGAAATGTACTCATGGTCTTCAAAATTTGTTAAGAAATGAGGGTTGTGCTTCCTGGTGAAGGTAGCAGTTTTATCATTAGCCAGAGATGAAAAAAAAAAAGCCATCAATGCTGCATATTTTTGTGTGTGAGTTCAGGCCCCCTTGTGCTAATTCTACCTCAATGGGAGCTCAGTCTGGGGGCAAAAAAATGAAGAAACTGAAAATCTTCTTCATTGTAATGATTGCTTGAGTATGTCTACCCAACTGCAAAGCTCTCCTCTTAACATCAATAAGTAGAACTGACAAGATTTAATGGCATATTAATGCAATGCCTGCAAAGGAGGGCACTGCACTTAGGTTTTCCAGTATTCCTCTGCTGCTGGATTTACTATCACGTTACAGGAAGCCTGACTAGACAAACCTTGGCAAGATCTAATGATCTCATACTCTTTGCTGCTCTGTTTTGGAGAACATTACACTGATGTGCAGATGCTGATCTGTTTTGGAGAAAGCATAAGCTGGATCTGCATCTTTTGCTATTCAAAAAGAACAGTTGCAGAGCCCCAGATGCTAGAAGACCTATGAGGATGAAGCTTTGGACCATATTTTGTCTCTTCAAGCCAAGAGTATCTTCAGGAGGAACTGTTCAAAGGATAATCTATTTTTATTGTGCTGGTTAGGCTTTTAATGCCACAGAAAACCCGAGGGGTGCAGCTATGAGTCTCTGTGTGGCTAACTCCTGAAGTATTTAATAAATGTCCTGAAATATTATATTTCACAATTAGTGAAAAAAAACCCCAACCAAATTAACAAACAAACAAAATTTAAACAGAAAATCACAAACCTTTAGTATCTGTAATTTAAAACAGAGGATCCCCTCCTTTCTTTCCTACATGAAAATCTATTTAATTTTATTATGACCGTTCTCTATTTGCTTTTCCTTCCACTCAGCTGTGTTAGTCTACAGCACCTATTTAGCAATAGCCTGTTTGGGTCTCCAGCAAAATCTTGCAAGTTACTCCTTGTCATCTCTAATTGCATTTCCAAATAACTTGTTTTTCATGTTCTCCACCTGCTACTTCATCATAGCACACAGGAACATACACCCTGTTTGCCAGACCCATGCAGAACCTCGTTTCCTTGGATGAGCTAAATCAGGAAACAAGTGTAGCTAAAGCAGAATGAGCCAAGGCAAACAGAAAAGGCACTGAAAGTTTTCTTCCCAGATGAAAATAAGAAAAAAGAAAAATGCATGAGATTTATTGAGCATGAAATCTTCAGATGAAGAGGATCAGATATCGTAAATTCTCATCATCCATCATGAATTCTGGACTAGAGAAGCACTGAGTGGATATGGGGTATTGCTCAAACTGTGAGCTCTTGTGTAAGCAGTGGGCTATGGAAAAGAGCTGTGTTTGCATCAAGACAAGCACTCCTCAGAAAAGCTGTGAACCAGAACTCTTCACAGCTACCAAGAATCCTTCTTACACTGTTTACCCAAATTGCTTCTCTGTTAGAAAAGGGTACTTTGTATTGTTGGTAGATGGGAAAATGAGTGTGAAAGATGAGTCACCAAGGCACAGAGAGAGAGAAAATGTAGTGAGAGCTACCACAGCACCCTCACTGCCCCGTGTTCCTTCCACAGCACCTAATGCAGTTTCCTGCAGCCCTGGCTTCCAACAAGAGCTAAATTAGCTCATCAGTGTGGATAATGGTTTAGGGATATTTATTCCAGCTGCCCCAGATGTGTCTACATGTCCAACTTATCTAACCAGCCTGTAATTTTAGTAAGCACATTCATCCTGATCTTACACTTCAGGGCTTGAAAATCTAAGCTCCATCTCAGGATTCAGGTGACTAAATACCTTCTGAAGACAATGAAGCATCTTGGCTGATGTCTGTGGTGAGAATTCAGGCAGGAATCCTGGCATTGCTGTCTCACAGGGCTGTTCTCTCCAGGTCTGGTATCCAAATCATTAAAATACCCTCCTTAAATGCTGGGATGGGCAGATTCAAAGCAAAATCACCCTGGGCATATTGAGCCCAGACAGAGAATAACATAGAAACAAGATATTGAGCCAGAATTATGAGCAAGGAAGGAAGACAGGACTGTGCTGATGAATTCTGACTAAAATTTATTTCTGTAGGTAACACTTGTGTCAAAAAAACCCCAAAACAATGAAATTAAATACAAAATGTAGATCAACTACAGATTGTTACTGCAAACTCTACTAAATGTAAAAAGTGAGGAAAGCAAAAGAGGAAAATCAATGGTGTGAGGACAGCAATAACTTGCTTTTAAATCTTCATTGCATCTGTTTGACCTCCTCTTCACCTTAATTTGAACCTCTGCTTGCTCTTAATGACACCTATCGTGTGTCAAATGAAGAATTTCCCCCAGTAAATTCACATGAAGAAAAGATATGAAAGAAAGTTACTGTGGGAAGAGTCATGCTGATGAGGGTAACTATAGGAATAAAATAAGAACCTGGCCTTGTGAAAAAGCAGTATTTTCATTGTTCTAAGAGGTTTTCACAAATAACTTGGCATACACTTTGAAAATGTCCTTGATGTTGCCCTTCTAACAATGAGAAAGCAGGGGAGCTCACGTTACAGCCTCAGATATGCTGAGCAACTGGTGTGGAGGAAGCACTGATGCCCACAAATCTCCTGTGTAAAATCAAACACAGACAATTACCTCGGTTATGAACCATGGTGCTGTAACAGGCTTCAGCCTGTCCAGCTGCTCCTTGGCACAGATCCTGAACAGATCTTGCAGTTGGTCCTAAATCTTCAGCTACTTCCCAGCCAGGAGCTGCACTGATTGCATTAAGCATTCACAGAGCTGCTGACGGCTGCCCTTTTCCTACAGATATGGGTAGCTCAGCCAAATTGCCATCGACAGGCTCTCTCCCAGGCTTCCCCAGCAAAACAGCATGAGTGGAATGGGGATTCAGTCCTGAAGAAGGAGAGCATCCCAGACAATCACCATTAGGGACAGAGCTGAATTAGCTGAAGAAATTTGTGTTCCCATACTAATAGAAGAGAAAGGAACAGCCAAATAAACCAGCTCTGACCAGCCCAGGCAATTCTGTTGCACAAATGCACACCTGTGAATCCTTGTTAGAGACCACTGATGTCCCTTGAAGAGCTTTAGAATGGGACAGAATTCAATCTTTTTACCTATCCACTCCTTTTACCTACCCTTCTGCATACCCTGCTCTTGACAAGGCCTCCTGTTAAATCCCCACACATTTTTTTTCCTGCCATCCTCCTCAACACGCAATTTTTACATGTTTACCTGTGATTCCCTTCCCCTGCTTTTGACATTCTTTGTGCCCAAGCTACTCCAGAGATGGACCAGAACCCTGTGTGCATAATGGAGTGGATAATGGATGACTACACTCTCATGCCCCCTGGTTTGTGCTCTCTCCAAAGCAGATCATTACTGCACAGTACAAACAGTATTGCCAGACTATGTTTCAAGCATTTAAGCTGATGAAGCAAAGATTAGCATCTCAGAAGTCTATTAACAAATTAGGAGGGCTGTTTTTTTACCCAGTATGCATATTTATATATAATTAATGAAGTCCAGGGCTTGCAATACATGCTTCTATCACTGCTGTATCACTCCTGTGTACAGCGGTGTATAAATTATTCCTAATATTGGTCCTTGCTCTGAAGATGTTAACAGTGAAAAGGAAGAGCTTTCTGTTCTTTTCAGAAATGAAGCCCTAGTACCACTCTAAGCACAGGGCAGAGCTCAGCCTTTTTCTACCCGCCTGAAATCTACATTCCTCTCTCAAACTGGTTCACCATCTATAGAGTTGAGGAATCAGGGAAAATAAGATTACTCTGAGATAACAAAGAAAAATGCTGGGTACAAGGAGGTGTGGAAATCCATGCTTGCCTTAACTCAGTTTTTACACTGGAATCAGTAGGGGCTGAAGCTCTGGGAAAGCTGATCCAAAGGAGCAAGAAAACGCAAGAAAAACACACGCTGCTTCATTTCTCAGAAAAAATATTCTCATTCTTCCTGCTCCTCCTCCAGAAGCAGCCACTTCTGATCCCTGAGATAAACCCAGCTGTTTTCTGTTGTTCTTCCTCTCTTAATCAAGCTCTGCTCCCACAGCAGCTCCCCCACTGCAGCACCTGCAGCAGCTCACATGCCTTTGAGGAGCTTTCCAGCTTCCTCCTCCTCCTCCTCACCACCTTACCTTCCAACTCTGCTTCCCTCAGCCGCACTCACGGGCACAATGAGCCTCCCTGATCTCTTGTTTTTTGGTGGATTGTCTGCCATAACCTGCTCAAGTTTTCCTTTTTAAAATCTTCCTATTCCCACAGCTCTTGTGACTTCTCTCAGAAGAGGGAAAGCTCTGACAGGATGATTTTTCATACCAGCTGCCTGTTGATAAATAATGGTGCAATATTTAGTGGATATTAACTGATTGCAGGGGAAAGCAAGCCTGTGGTGATTTGCAGAAAAACAAGGCAGGGATCATCCTTTCAAGCCTCAGCAAAGGAGTTCTGTTGGATGATTAGCTCACAGCAGCATCTGCAGTGGAAGCAGTTAATAGTTGTATTTTAAAAAACCCACGAACACGAGACTAAGAGCATTTAAAAATATCTGTTCTTAATGTTGCTACGGAGACCTTTATTGTAGCCACTGTATGTGATATGCACTGATTATATTCCTCATAGGTAACATTTCTCTCTCAGACTACTGACAATACTCCCACTTGTACGAGGTGGTGGGAGTACACAGGCTGTGGAACTAAACAGCACTCGAGAGGAGCTTTTCTGGTTTTCAACCCTTAACAATTTGTAGATGTACAGTTTCAGCACTCCATTAACAGTTTCTTGCCTTTGCAGATATCCCTTGTTTAATACATTCTGCCTTTTTTAAAGCAGAAGGGCTTAGGATCAGTGCTTAGGATCATTGTAATTGGGGTGATAAATGCAGCAATCCTATTATAAAAATAAGAGTTATCATTCATATGGCTGGCAGTGCATGCATTTGGAGCTCCCTCAGTAAAATCTGAGTAGTTTCAACACATGGCATTCAAATAAAAACTGCATTGACTGCATGAAAGATTTTATTTGTCTTTAAGCTGAGCTGATGGGGTCACAGTCCCAATGGCAGAAAATGTATTGCTGCTACTCATGTAGTTACATGGGCCGCTCTTTTCAAAAGCCTTTGAGAAAATATTGCTTCATCAAAAGCAATTAAGTCAAAATCTTGGCAAAAAAAACCTCCAAGATTTTATTACCATATCCTAAGCTTTACCCATTCCAATAAAAATAACATTATTTGGAAATACAGCCCTCACAGAAGTTCAGTTTCACTTTTTAGATGACAGTTTTCATCTTCCTGGCTTTTTTATTTTAATATTGATTTGGATTAAATAACCTTGAGTGGATGACAAATTTTAGCAGAAATTATTCAGGAACCCAAGCTTCTTTAAGGCTTATTTCAGAGAAGTTTTAAATTTCATATTGAAAATATTCGCTTCAGTTTTTCCATTTGTTAGATGTAGAGCTCAATAAGTAAATTCAAATAGAAGTGTATAGGCTGCATTTCAGGCAGCTGTGGTTTTGAGACATGCTTCTTAAATTAGTGGGATAACTGAAAAGTTGTAGGCTGGTAGTGGGAGGAAATGCTAATCTGCTGTGATGCTGAGGACAACAAACAGGTTCCTCACTTGTTTCAGCCTGCAGACTGGAATTTCACCTTCTCACTCAATTCAGCATCCTCAGCATCACTGAGTGCCCAGGAAAAGAGAGTGGAAATCAAACAGATCCAAAACTGTACAAACATCCAGGAGTTTTGCCTTCTGGCTTAATGATGCTACAGGAGTACAGTTTGTCCAAAAATGGGGAAATTGTTCTTCAGTTAAGAGGGATTTGGAATTTCTGCCTTGTCAGAAGTTTGGAAGTGAACATGAAGATCCTTGTTTTAAATTAATTTCTGCCAGAGATCTCCATCTATTTTTACTGATAATCCAAATTTTAGAACAACCTCCCCAATCTGCTGATTTTCCTTACTCTTTTCTTACTTATTTTTGTTACTTCCTTTGAGTAGGCAGTTCACTTAGCCCATTCCTCTGCAATGTCTTATGAACAAAAAAAAAAAAAAAGTGTTAAAAACTTATGGCCTAGACTCCATGTCAAAGCATAAAGCCAGATCTTACTGTTACTACAGAGATAATACAGTTTGGAAACTTGCAAAATGTTTGTGGCACTATGAATTGCTTCTGTCCTCTCAAATGTATCATTTCTTGAGTGTGAGGTTGTGTTTCTGGATGAATTTAAATTTGGCCAATGTTTGCCTTGCTGTGAACAGAAGTAGTATGAAACCAGTCTATTAAATAAAGTCTAAAGGGAGAAGGGCAGGAATTGTACTGTTATTCTTTCTCAGCTGAAATGTGTTACTAATGGTATTTACAGAGATTTCAATAATATAGCTATTTGTCTTACATAGTTAAACAAAGTAAATCATATTATTACAAATATGTAGCCCAAATTGATATATATATATATATATATATATATATATATGTATTAAAATATGTAAAATTCTAGTTGATGACTGCAGTGATTTTTATTTGTTATTAAACATAGTCTTGGGGACATCTGAAGAAAAACTACTTGAGTTTGTGCAGAAATATGTTGTAAAGGGAATAAAACTACGTGTGTATAGATTACCCATGGGAGCTCACATGCATCTTTTCATTCTTTGAATTCAGAAGCATCCGTACAGGCAGGGGAAGACTGCTGTGAAAACCTGTTTGTAGGAAGAAACAGAAATGAGAATATGTAAATAAATGTTTCCATCTACCTTTCCTGAGCTTTTTGCCAGTACAAAAGGTGTTTTTTACCCCAGGTTTATTTACATTAAAATGCCTGGTCTACCTTTGAGTGCTTGGAACAAGTTTATATTAATTTTAGTTTGAACTGCTAGGTTGAGAGGAGGAAGGGCTGACCAAACAGGAGGGGAGATGAAAGGATCTCTTCAGGCATTAGTGACTGGTTCAGCTCCACAAACACATTTACAGATGCTGAGATGGACAGCTTTATGTACAGCCTTGTGAAGGGGCCTCAGAAGTCCAAGGAATGCCAGGGGGACAGGATACAGTCATGCCTGCACTGCACTTACACCAAACACACCTTCCCCATAAAGTTCATGAGCTGATCAGTAATTTCCTTTTCTTTTCTTTTTTAATGGCTTGAGACCTCATACGAAACTCAGCAGCAAACAGAGGCACTAAGATGAATAATGGACAAATCCCAGAATCTTCCTTTTCCAAGAAAACTACAATATGAGCTAAAGTTTCTGAGATACTCCCCCCAGCTTGAAGTACTGGAGCAAGCTCCCTCAAATCTCCTGTTCCCTTACTTCACTTCTCTTTCCAGCTGAGGATCCACGGGGGATGTGAGCAGCTACAGGAATGCAGAACCTGGCACGGCGTGTCACTGATCCCAGGGCTGGAGCTGCTGAAATTGGATTACTGAGGCTTTGCACAAAGCTCTCCCGAGCACACACCGCAGGACATGAACTCAGGCTGGGATTGTGGCAATGCCAGGTGCTCCTTTCCCCCAGCACAGCCCTTTCGCCCTCCCTGCTGCAGGACACAGAGACTGATAAAGGGTCAGATATAGAGGCTGATAAAAGAACAAAGGGTCAGATATAGAGGCTGATAAAAGGATAAAGGGTCTGATACAGAGGCTGATAAAGGGTCAGATATAGAGGCTGATAAAGGGTCAGACATAGAGGCTGATAAAAGGATAAAGGGTCAGATATAGAGGCTGATAAAAGGACAAAGGGTCAGATATAGAGGCTGATAAAAGGATAAAGGGTCAGATATAGAGGCTGATAAAAGGGTCAGATATAGAGGCTGATGAAGAGTCTCTCCCTGAGCTGCAGCAGCTGCAGCCCAGCCACGTGTGCAGCTGTGACCTTTCTGCAGGGGTGATCACCTCCAGCAGCAGGGAGGAAAGGAGGGGGGGAAGAAGGGAGGGAAGGAGCTTCTCTCTGTGGCCTGATTTGGCCGGGCTTATCTGGAGGCTTAGAAGACACAGCAGATGCTCCACGACTGGCAGCTGCTGGACACGACCAACTACCTGTGGACTGATGCAGGGAATTACACTTTTAATGAAGGGAAAGTGAGGCACAGAGCCTCATCTCCAGCCCCACATTCATCCCTAAAGTGTGTATTAACCCTTTAGCCAGTGAATCCCTCTGCAGACCAAAATTGTTTTTCAATGCAGTTTCCTGAAACCTCTCCATCAGCCAGAGGCTGCTTTGGACTAATCCAGGAAATGAGGCAAGCATTAAAAAAAAATATTGTGAGGTTATGGAACACGAAAAACATATTGCCCATAGTGTAATTATACTTGAAATGGATTAGGGGAAGTAGCTAAAAAAATCTCTACTCTGAAAAAGATAATTTGGGAGCTTGCAAGAGGGCCTTGGGGAGGGTGCCTGCAGTTCTGAGTAGGGACAGTGAATGTGCTTCAGAGCACGTAAGGAAAAGGTTCTGGAGTGAACACTAAATGACAAATGTGATAATCACTGTCCCAAACATTTCACTTTCTAAAGCTTAAGAAAACTGGCATTTACATGAATACCACGAGTCAGTAAAGTAAATGCAGGAAAAAGTGAAATACGTGTGACAAGTCTCACTCGCATCTGCGAATTAAGTAACAGTTTCTGGACTTAAGATGTAGCATCAGACAGGCAATAAAGGAAATCTTCAGTTTGCCTTGCATACTGGTAATATTAAAATCCTGAATTTGTTATATTTACAATTAAAATAGCTATTTTAAATATTTTCTTTTTAATCTTGGCAAAGTTATCTTAGAGCTACAGTTCCTAAGTGGAGTATCTTTTTCCATGATATAATAAAAACCAGAGTCTGTGTAAGCTAGTAACAGAATCCCTAATTAAGAACCATGATACTTTAAGCTTGAGTATGATGAGCCTCTTGAAGTAAGTATCCAAAGCATCTTTACATCCAAAATGTTAAGCTCTTGATTAAACAAGCAGAACGTACTTTAAAAGATAATTAAAGATGAGCTTTGGTGAAAATACTGGGTTTGTATTTGGGCCAAACTAAACCTTGGACGCAAAGCCTCACTGTCTTTTTTTGTTTTAACATGTTCTGATCCAAAGTGGTTGGGCTTTGAGCCACTCCTACCAAACAACTCAAGTGTTGTACTTGTTGCAGGTAAGATTGCAGAGCTGTTCAAAAATGACAGTACCCCTGTTGTGAGACAGATTATACCAGATCTGCAAATTTAGACACAGAGTTAAAAACCTCTTCTTTTTCAAAAGTCAGTGTTAATTTGGGGCATCCACATCTTTGCTCAGACAATGGAGTTGTTTTGGTTTTTTCCTCCTGCTGCACACAATATTCACAATTCCAAAGTAAATTCTGCAGTTTCTCATAACCTCTGAAAATTGAGGGTTGGGTATCTCAGGTAGGACAAAAAGCAATATGTAGCATGCACTTCCATCTTGAAAAAATAAGTCTTCCAGTGAGACATTTCTAGGATAAGAATAAAACCTCCTAAAATTCTCAGTTTCCATCCTTAAAAATAACTAGAAGTTGGGGGATGCATGTGTCATATTTTTTAGTAGGATAAATGGATGCATTAACGCAATAGAGACAATGATTTATTCTGGCTGATGAAATGGTGGTGGGTCTCTGTAGCACTAACACAGCCTAAATATGATTGAGTCACCCAAACTGTATTTTTTTCCCACAAAATTAATGAGTGGGGGAATTTAGGTTATAACAGTGAAATGTTCTTGAGAGGTTTGGAAATTAATATGGAGCCCCAAGTAGTGGATTCTCCTCTGGACAAGGAATAGGCTCAGAGGGGGCATGAGACAAATTCCTCCGGGTGAGTTGAACAAATCTCCCCAGGGACCAGCTAGAAACAGGGTGAGCTCTTTCTGCAGACTCACAGTGCAACCTGCCCCTTCAAAGGCAGAATTAAAACAAATATAAAAATGGGAATTAAAATGGCATCGAAGAAAATCTCACCTGGAGTCCTGGTGTTTTAAAGACGTTTATACCAATAAAATGCAGAATTGCCTGATATTAAGGTAACACTGTGCTTGGTAGAGCTCAGAACTAGAACTGGAAGCAGTACTGATCACTGTGTTTCCTATATATATATATTTTAACATATTTTCAGCATTGGATCAGACCAGCTGCTCTCTATGCAGCATATCCTGTCTCAATTTGTAGATGCCTGAGGACAGTCAAAAGGAAAAGACACCCGCCAGCTGTCTGTCACAGTGCAACTTCCAGCAATCTTTGTGTTTAATAGCCTTCAATGGATTGTTTTTTCCTCATGAATTTACCTAATCACTTTCTAAATCCTGTTTCATGCAGCACCATGAGAATGATAATCTAATTTTGGTCTCTAAGAGATGTAATACAAAAACAATAGGAGGCCCAGGAAAGAATGAAATCATTTTGCCAACAGAAATTACAAAAGAAGGCAACAATTTTACTCCAGTGATGAAGAAAATTACTAAAACCACTCATTACAAAACATCCTGCTTTGAAAAACAATCTATTTAGACTACTTTGCAGTTCTGAAAAAAATAAAACCCACCCCATCTGTAATTGCCTTTCCAAGATTGTGATGTGGATGTTTCTTCCCTTGGTGCCACAACATGAACTTTAAAGTGTGTGGCTTTGCCAGGTCCTGCTGCCTGGGGTTACTGCAAATGCTGCTAAAGGCCAGTGATCCTTGGATCAGGCAGTGAGGTGAATTGAGACAAATGTTCCCAAAGCACCACCACCCCTTGCTTAGAACAGGACAATTGCCTCAAACACGCCCCTTGTGTGAATTTATGCTACTTGCTCCCTATTAGCAATTACAGAACTCTAAATATTTTGCAATCTTTGTGCACAATCATTGTTGAAATTTCCCACAAAATGTTGAAATTAATTTTGAAGCTCTGCACTTGGAGATTTGCTGCCATCATGTACTAAATTGATTTACAAATGAAAAGAGCATTTTCCTTGTTTAAATACAGGTGACATATCCTTTTTAATAGACTATTTCCTAATACTTTTTCAAAAGATCAGTATAAATATGGGCCTTCTAATTTTGCATGTCTTGAGTCCCATTTAATAATTTCCAGCTATTCAAAGAGTAAACAATTGAGTACATTCTACAGTTTTACAAAGCTCTGTGTAACCAGGGTGAAATTGGTGAGACTACATAAACCTTTCTATTTATCTAGACTGCCAAAAAATTCAAATAAGACCTTCTAAATGGAAGCCAAAGTAAAATATGTTCTTAAAGGCCCTTTTTAGATGGTATTAAGATGAATCTTCTTTTTCTCATCTACCTGACAAATTTAATTTTTTTTTAAAATTTTATTTCAATCCTATGTTACATAACATTTTTGCATAATCATTTTGTAGTCACGTTAACACATTTGCTATTTCCCTCCATTCTCCCATTCTCATTGAAAATCCTAAAACACGCCCGATTCTTGCTTCATAACGTGTCTTTTAAGATAACACAGCTCCTGTTGAAAATGTTCCTGGGGAAGGAGAAAAGCGATTATAGAGCTGAACATTTCCGAGGCTCTTAAGCTGCCATCAGGTGCAGAGAATGTGCCAAATTCCCTATTCTGCTTGTCTAACAGAAGAAAATACTCAATTGAGACATCTGCAACATGACTTCTTTTTTTTTTTATCCTCCTGCTGCTTCTCCTGACCCAAAAGCAAGGCTGCTATTGCCTTTTTGAATAGACCAGTCCTTATCTGAAAAGCCATTTAGTTGCAAATCCCAAACCTTTCCATTATTACCACGTATGCCTGTATTAGCCACGGTAAAGGCCCGTAACAGAGCAGCTCAAATGTTGGACTAATGACCTCTCTGGTATTTCTATAGAAGTGCTCTGTTAAACACCCAGCCATTTCAACTTTCAGTAACAAGACCTATAAAAAATTCATACTCTGAATCTCTAGTTTCAAACCACAGCACTACATCATCAAGAGCTTTTCAGTCCTCCCACCCCACACGCTTTACGAAGGGGGATGGGGAAGAGAGCTTTTATCTTCTTGGTAATAAAATTTCACATTTTCTTCTCTTGTTTGCATTTTTAAGCAGTTCTGGAGGTTGGGGAAAAAAAACAACCAACTATGTGAGCATGAGTTTTCTTTTATTTTATTAAAATATAATATCATCTAAGAACTTTTAGCTAGGTATTTAACTAAACATAAAAAAAAAATGTAAAAAACAAGCTTAATAATTTAAGTAACTTTTGTCTCAATTGTTGCTGCCTTTCAGAAATTGCAAAACTTCTATTTCAAGACTGAAAAGGGAAGCACCTGGAAAAAGTATACAGTTGACATAGTACATTCTCGAGCAGTATATACAGCTTTGATCTGGTCTTTAAATGAATTTGCTGGATTAGAAAACAGTAGTTTCTTCTGGATATATGTTTATATTTTCCAGTAAAAATACGGTTATTTCTATGACAATTCTGTAAGCGAAATTTGAATGACTCTTCCGATTTAGCCTCTCAAAATGTTCAAAATGAGTCTTTCTGAAGAGTCACACGTTTTTCTGCATGCTGTAGCCCTGCCTCATGTCACGTTTCCTCTCTCTAGCCTCACTCACTGATTTTACAGCAGGGCTGTAATGTCCATCCTTCCTGCTCCCCGGTTTGATGGGCTGTCACTGTCTGTGCCTCCTGCACATCTGTCCCCTCCCTGGAAGGGCTCTGGGCAGCCTGGGCACTGAGATTCCTCTCCCTCTCCCTCTCCCTCTCCCCTCCCTCTCCCCTCCTCTCCCTCTCCCTCTCCTCTCCCTCTCCTCTGTGATCTCATCGAAGCCGCAGTCTGTCCTAAAAGAAACCTCTGTCCTTGCTTGTCTTACCCACGGGACAGCAGCGATCTCATCACGCACAGCAGGGGCTGAAGTGCCATGCAAAGCTCTCAGCTTGCTTTTCTTCGTGTTCCTTTTCTCCACAGCTTTGGTTGGTTATTTCTACCTCTTATTCAATGATGACTTTTAAGCACAAGTAAATGGCTGAAGGGGACGGAAACAGATTTATATCTTATCACCAATAATAGCAGAGCTGGATAAAATGCCATCCAGGCAGGTTTGGTTTGGTTTTTCTTAATGTGCTAAAAGCCTATCTCATCAGCAGGAAACAAG